CCGAGATCCCCAGACCCAGAACGCCGACGCATCGCCAACCTTCCCCGTCCATAGTAAGGCTGGGGAGGTCTCCGGCCTGGAGACCCTGGGGTGGAGGTTGATCCGATGCGCCGCGTACCCGACCGCAAACGGCCACAGAAAATGGGGGGCAGCCGCATGCATCATAGACGTACGAGCGACGTCCATGACCATGCCAATGCGGCGCTCAGCAATCCCATTTTGTTGCGGTGAGTCCGGAAGCGTGAAGGTCTGACGGATGCCTCGTGCGCGTCAGTAGGCTCGCAGTAGGCCAGAGGAAAACTCTCCGCCTCTGTCCGAGTGCAGACGCAGAACAGGGAAGTCCGAGCCAAAGCTCCGCCTGAGCTGGAGACGAGCCGCGCGGATCCAGTCGATCAGCACCTCAGTGACATCACCCTTGCTGCGCAAGGGGAAGACCGTAGTGTAACGCGAGTAGTCGTCAACAACGAGCAGGAAGTAGCGCTCGTGACCCTGTCCACGGACGCGGGCCGGGCCCCACACGTCCATGTGAAGCGTCTGCAACGGGGCCTCTGTCGAAGGAAACTGGGAGGAGTGAGGGGCAGCCCGCTGGCGCCCCTCGACACAGGGGACACAGGCAGGGCCGGGGCCCTGAGGAAGGGGAGGGAGGGACCGGGGGAGACCAGACACAAGAAGACGGGAGGCCATGCCTCTGAGGCGAAGCAGAGAGGGGTGACCAAGACGGTGGTGCCAGAGGAGAGTCTCATGAGACAAGAGACGACACAAACAGGGGGCAGACTCAGGACCAGACCTAGACGCTGCAGCAAACACCTGACCGGACGAAGCGACTCTACCAGACTCAGTAACGGGAGGAGACGCAGTGGTCAGTGTGTACAGGCTCGACCCCGGCTGACGGGTAAACGTAGCCAGGTGCCGGCCTGTGCTAGCCTCTGTATAGTGCGTCACCCGCTGACGCGCAGGAGTGAACTGGTGTACTCCCCCATCCTGTAGGTCAGCACCACTCACCAGGTTCGTAGAGAACGAGGGGAGGTAGAGACCAGACAGGGTGCCAGAGGGAGCCGCCGGACACGGGAGGACTGTGGAGAAGCGAGACAGTACAGGACCCCCGGAGGGGTCAGCCAGAGACACCGCAACCGGCCGACTAAGCGGCGTGAGTGTGGTGCGGTCCCGAAAGAAAGAGCGAGACGCCCCAGAGTCAAGAGTGAAGGTGAGGGAGGCCGAAGCCGACGTAGTACCTGAGAGCGCAGACTCACCAGTACCTGAGGACGCAGACACACTAGCACCTAGAGCAGCAGCGTCGCAAGCACCTAGGGCAGCAGCCTCAATGCCCGCATCGGGCGGGAAACAGCGGTAGCAGTCACCCTCATCACTATGAGACACAGCATACATGGCAGAGAGAATAGCATCAAAGTCAAGATCAAAGATGGCAACACCCGCCCTAGACAGCTCGCCCCAGCGAGGAATCTCTGAGGCCTCCGGGAAGTGGTGACGCCACGCGTCCGTCAGGCGGCCAAAGCAGCGCTGGGTGGGGTGCGGACCCCCACACTGTTCACCCGCACGGTCGCGAGTGCGCAGGACGTAGGTGCACGGACCAAAACCCCCACCCCGCTGGCGTGCAGTGTACCACTCACGGAGCTGCTGAGGGGACAGGGTCTCACGACCGCGCTGCTGCTGCTGGCGCGCGCCACTACCGGAGCCACTCCTCTGCGAAGGCCCGCGACCAGCTCCACCGCCACCCCCACCGCCTCTGCCGCCTCCGCTACTACCGCGGCCTCCACCGCCGCCTCCACCGCCGCCTCCTCCGCCACCTCCGCTCCCACCGCCACCGCCGCCGCCGCCTCCGCCTCCACCGCCGCCCTCGACCCCCCCACCCGCACCTCCACTCCCACAGCCACCCCCACTAACCCCACCGCCTCCACCTCCACCTCCACCGCCCGCTCCTCCAGCTCCCTTGCCCCCCTTGCCCTTGCCAGGGCGGCGTCTCCCGCTAGGGGCAGACGCCGCATCGACCGACTCAAGACCAAGGAGGTCGGCCGTAGTAGCAGAGGCAACAGAGGGCAGCAGGGGGGAGGGGGAACACCCCTCAAAGATGGGGGTGCGCGGGTCACCCCGAGAGGCTCCTACAGCAACTATACTCTTCTCCGCTGCTAAGAGGGCCTTCTCGAGGAGATCGACAGTGAGTGTGATGGGACAGACTGAGAGAAAGTGGTCCCTGACTACACGAAGGGAGTCAGGAAGGCGAGTGACTAGGAAGTACGGAGTGATGTACATGGGGGGGGGGTTCTTGGCGCAGAAGTCAGCAGGGAGTGCAGCGCGGTAGCGAGTGTCACTAGTGCGGAGGTGCGTAATGAGGTCAGCCACGGTGGGAAAGGCAGCAAGGTCAGGGAAGAGGTACGGTAGCATGAGACGGCTCAGTGCAGCAGTGGCAGGGGAGGAGTAGCGCGCGACTACAGCGTCGTACAAGGTCTGAGCACTCTTGTACTGACTAAAGTGCGCACGCTCGGAGGTAGGGAGGTGGCGACGCACAGCAAGACTTGCAGCAGCGTCGCGCGTGGCCCACTGAGAGCGAACAGTGGCGTCAGCATCAGCAGCAGGGGCAGGGGAAGCGCCAGAGGTAAGGTCAAAGAGAGAGAGGCCGTCTGCCCTATCGCACTATAAGAACAGCTGCAGGTCGTCTACCCAGACCTCAAAGTCAACGGCGCGACCCTCAGCGTCAAAAGCGAGGACACTACGGGTAGCCATGACGACAGTAGCCTAGCAGTTATACCTGTAGGACAGGGGCAGTGCAGTGACAAGAGCGCTGCTCTCACCAGACAGGGCGGGTCTAGCAGCTAAGCAGCACAGCAACGCGGCTGCTCGGACGGCTCAGCAGCAACTGCGGTTCGGGCGGCTCGGGCGGCTCGGCTCCACAGCGGCTCAGGCGGCTCGGGCGGCTCGGGCGGGTCGGGCGGCTCGGCTCCTCAGCGTCTCAGGGGGCTCGGGCGACTCGGGCGGCTCGGGCGGGTCGGGCGGCTCGGCTCCTCAGCAGCTCAGGCGGCTCGGGCGGCTCGGGCAGGTCGGGCAGCTCGGGCGGCTCGGGCGGCTCGAGCGGGTCGGGCAGCTCGGGTGGCGCGGGCGGTGTAGGGCCGTAGGGCCGCTGGTAGGGCTCGGGGCCGCAGCGAGAGGGGCGGCGGGGCCGCAGAGACGGGCGGCGGGGCCGCAGTGAGAGGCGGCGGGGCCGCAGCTAGAGAGGCGGCGGGGCCGCGGAGACGGGCGGCGGGGCCGCAGAGACGGGCGGCGGGGCCGAAGTGAGAGGCGGCGGGGCCGCGAAGACGGGCGGCGGGGCCGCTGAGACGGGCGGCGGGGCCGAAGTGAGAGGCGGCGGGGCCGCAGCGAGAGAGGCGGCGGGGCCGCGAAGACGGGCGGCGGGGCCGCTGAGACGGGCAGCGGGGCCGCAGGGAGAGGCGGCGGGGCCGCAGCTAGAGAGGCGGCGGGGCCGCGGAGACGGGCGGCGGGGCCGCAGAGACGGGCGGCGGGGCCGAAGTGAGAGGCGGCGGGGCCGCAGCGAGAGAGGCGGCGGGGCCGCGAAGACGGGCGGCGGGGCCGCTGAGACGGGCGGCGGGGCCGCAGTGAGAGGCGGCGGGGCCGCGAAGACGGGCGGCTGGGCCGCTGAGACGGGTGGCGGGGCCGCCGTGAAGGGCGGCGGGGCCGCAACGAGAGAGGCGGCGGGGCCGCAGAGGCGAGGCCGCTGAGACAGGCGACGGGGCCGCAGTGAAGGGCCGCTAGGGCGGCTCGACGAAGTGAGGGCCCGGAGCGCGACTCGGGCTGAGCGCCAGGCCCTACGATATCAGGAATTTTACCCTGAAATTCCTGATTTTCAGGGTTTTTTTTTTACCTACCCTGAAAATCCAGTGTTCAGCTTTTCCTAGGGCTGATTTTTCAGCCTTCACATGCCACATGACTCTGAACTTTCAGCAATTTTTTTGAAGTGACACTGATGCCTTTACGTTGTAACGAGTTTGACCCTGAAAGCGAATCCTACTAGGTACGAGTATACTTGACCGGAAGTACTGGGAAAATCAGATTCCCGCGGTGTCTGCAGGGCCTGTCGTTGACTATCGGACAATTTTGCCCACACTGATGGCCCCTTAGTTGGCGCGCCTGGTCCGTTCATTGGCCACATTTGCAACATTAAGGGCATGTTCCTACGGCCCCTTATCAGGCCAACCTCTTATCAAGCTCAAGTCAAAACACACTGAAAATTCCCTAAACCCAAAAACCCTCGCTACTTTTACCAGGCAAGGCTGACAAGAGGTTTGCCTGATAAGAGCGTAGGAACATGCCCTAAGTGACTTGACCAATTACAAGGTTGCAGCACAGAGATCCTGGCAGGCTGCGCTGCGAGGGATTCTGGCGGTCTAGGTCGTGCTGGCAAGCATTGATGCATCCACGCCTCCCAGCCGTGCTACCTGCCATCCAGCCTCACATCCCGTTCTGCTGTTTGCTTCCTTCCTAGTGTTTTTACTACTAGTAAAATAAAGACTACCGTACTAGTATCAGCCTTTTTCTGTAGGGAACACTGATGTATCAGACTTTTTTTTCAAGTAACACTGAACTTTCAGGCTTTTTTTTTAGGCGACCCTGACGATCAGGGTCTAGGGGTAGAGGGACCCTGATACCCTTACGTGCCTAAAAGTGAATCTGAGGGCCTGCTGAGCGCGCTTCGGGCAGGAAAAAAAAAAAACTCGATGTGGTGGGCCCTAAGCACAGTTCCCAAGGGGGAACCTGCTCGATACCATGAGAAAACTAGAACGAGAATGAATGTGAACTATGAATGAAGCGAGTACAAATATGAAACCCTAGTTGTGTTGTACCCCCTATGGGATACCCCACTATAGCCTACACAATAGCATAAGCTATAATGTTCTGACAGTTTCGACACAACAGGAGCGTTAAATTACTTGTTTCCAACAGGGATGAGGGAAGCTGAGAAGAAAATGGTTAGTCCGAGGGGAAGAAAATGGTTAGTCGTTGGGAAGCCTTATGATCACATTGCACTTGGGTTCTGCCACTCCCCTCTCTCCTTCCTCTTCCTCACTCTGCTCCTCCCCAACCACCCACGGATCTTTTAAGATGTCATCCACCGTTGGCCGTTTTGTCACGTCGTCGTCCATCAACCGTTGGATCAACTCCCTCGCCTGCTCTGACACCCCGTCCAGCCCCAACCCGCTGCGCCTCAACTCCTGCTGCGGCCATCTGGACACGTGGCCCGATAGCATGGCTCGCAGCACCAGCCCCAGGCCCCAGATGTCATGATGCCGTGGCACGCCGTGGCCCAATAGTGCAGCAGCCACGGCACGCACTGTTTCGTGCTGTGTGGCAGCGCCAAGGCCCGACAGCTTGGCGACAGGAGAGCTCCAGCACCTGCTGCTACTTCTTCCACCTTTGCAGCTGCTGCTCTCGCTCTCATCTCTGCCAGCCCTACGCAAACCGACGCTTGAGTTGCTCGGACTATCCCTGCTCAAATTTCCGCTTCTCCGAGTACAGCTGGCACCGCTGTCACTGGCGGAAGCGAGGCACGGCATCCCCGGACTAGGCGTACTCGCCAGCGTCGACGCCTTCGCCAGGCGTCGGCTCAGCAGCGGCCCAATAGGCACACCTGGGGGAGCGATGAAGGGCGACGTGTGAGACAATGGCACGGAGCAGCTAGCGCGGTGAAGCACAGCGGAGGGGGATTGCCTGAGCAACACGTGGTCGGGGGCGACGTTGCCGTGAATCACGCCGTGTTCGTGGCACTGCTTCACGGCCAGGACGGCGGAGAGGAACACTTCCCGTGCTGCGTCTTCCGACATTGGCCCCTTGCGCTTTATATGCGACGCGAGGTCGCCCGCGGCACAGAGCTCCATGACTATGAAGAGGGCCTTCTTGTCGCCGTATGCTTCCTCAATCTGAACCACGTTGCTCGCCACGCCCCAGAGGGACAGCAGAACCTTTAGGTCATTAGTAGCCCGTTTCATGTGCTTGCCGTCACCGTGCATAGACGAGAGGTCGTAATGCTTGCACGCGTACGTGCGCCGGGTAACTCGATCGCGACATCGCCAAACCGTCGCTCGATGACCTTCGCAAAGAATCCTCTCAAGCTCGAAGTTCTCCCAAAAACATTCTAGCGGCAGCACACGCCTGACATGCCCAAAAGGCATCAGCGGTAGTGAGTGCAACGATGTTTGTGTAGGAAACGAAGCTTACGATGCAACTCCAAAGGCAGCGGCGACTGGAACGCAGGGGCTAGCAAGCAACACTCGTACGGAACTCCAGTCACTTGATTTCTCATCTTGACACTGCTGTGGGTGTGGCTCTTGGCGGATGCCATACCAGCGGCAAAGGAGGCTTGTTGCTATGGAAGGTAGTATTCACAAACCTCGATGACGTCGGAGTCAGCTTCCCATCTCATCTCCTGCCCAAGCCGGTTCCCCAGTTGGTTCGGTTGTTTTTCGGACCGCGAATTGTTTGGGTCAGGGTTTCGAGACTCGACCCAATGTGTCAACCTGTTTTGGGTTGTACAGCACAGCCCCCGGTTTTGGCATGTGCGTACGTTTTCCGTACATTATAGTTCATCCAGTACGGTAATCTGTACTGCGTCACGGTTCAAAACGGTGAAATTTCAAAACCGCTGTGCACCGCCTGATATCTTTTCAAAGCACGACGAATGAACTGTATAGAACCCGAAAACGTACGCGCTGGACCCGCCCTTAATGCGTTCTCGGAAAGGTCTTCCAGAAGTCTGTACGTTCGTGAAGTGCACTTTCTTCACGGACACTGCCAAATCGTCTGCTGAAGGAAACGTGTTGCACACATATGGGAGCGATGGTGCAGTATCGCCATGCTTTGGCCAACATTATTGGCAAAGTAGAGTCACATCACCGATTCAACAAACCTAGAACGGATGAGAGCCATCCGATGTGATATCTAAGCCGTGTCGCATATCCTCGCTTACACTATATACGTTGAAGTTTGGGCAAAATTAATTGTCCCTACTATCCAAATTCTTTAAGGCCATGTATATACAGTTAAGGGCATGTGTGATATTTTTTAGGTTCGTAAACTAACTTTGGGCGGTTACCATTTTCGCTAATGTCGTCGAAGCTAATTGGAGAAGGGCACCATAAATTCCAAACAGCCAAATGCGACCACCAAGAAGTGAACAAAACTCGAGCCAACACTCCAACGTAAGAGTTGTTCCGATATGAAGTTCAACGAGGCAATCATGTATGCTGAAGGAGCCAACCCTACCGAGTACGAATTCGAGAAGTCAAAAGAGTCGAAGCGACGCTGGTAACCGTCTGACCAAGACCGATGCAGGCAGAAACATTTGAAGTGAATAGAGCGGGAACAAGTTTGAAACAAGTTCCCGCGCCGCACGGTTTGAACTTCGTCGTAATAGGGTAATGTACCCCTTAGAGTACATGGCTAGTCCATGTCGTTTCATATTCCTCTGTATTTCCTATATAAAGTTGATGTTGTTGGAAACAAGTAGTTTAACGCTTCTTATGTGTTGTAACATTGAACCGTAAACAAGGCAAGCTACAGCGGAGCAATGGCGAGTCAACCGAGGAGGTTGACAGAAAAGTAACAGCCGGGGGTTATGCGAAAGTTGAAGGTCAGCGACCTTTGACTCATACAGCGCGATAGCAAGGACAAACAAATGACTCGATATTGAGCAGTTGTCAGAATCATCATTATACGGTATCGAACCGCAACAGCAACAACAAAACGGTTATTGCATTGTTTCATATTCCTTATAATCTTATGAAAGCTTGTATTCCTTCCCCTTGCTTCCATAGGTACGTATGCTAGGAAAACGGATAGATTTGAAGGAAGAGCGGCGGGGCAATTCTTCCACGTAGCAGGGGGAGAAAGACCGCGAGCAACAACTGCAAAAGGGGAGGCTAATCAGCACACGTGGATTATGGATACGGGGGCTGCTTGGTCGATGACACCATGTGCGGAGCTGCTAGTGAGCATTGATGCAGCACCTGTTTCGGAAGTTATGTCCGGATCCGGACATGCGATGAGGGTGATGGGGGCAGGAAGGGCTGCATTTTTTGGAGCTGACGGAAAGCCGGTCGTAATCGAGGAGGTGTTCTTTGTCCCAAAGGTAACAACAAATTTGATTTCGTTGAGGAGGCTGGCAGTTGCTGGAGTGAATACCGAGAGCGGAGCAGGGCACTCCAAAGGAAAATTTGGGAGCTGCATGATGAATGGAGCTTGGATAACGAGCTGTGGCGAGTACCTGCTGTGTCATGGAAGAAATTTGCAACACAAACTGCTGCGAAGGAGTGTATCGTCAAGAGGGAGTCAATGACAGGAGCCATAGGTGAGATAAACGAGTTGAAGCAGATAGGGGTGCAGCTGCTTGAGCAGCTAAAGGTCATCGCCTCTTGCTTGAAGAAAACCAAAGGAAAGGGAAAAGTTGCATTCAGGGGGAGTAAGGCCACCGACAAGGTGAAGGTGTGCGAAGCTGTGCCGTTGCTACAGTTGTGTGAAGCTGAGGGTCTGGGCAAGAAGACAAGTGATGCAGTTCTTCTGGGTCAAGTGACAAAGAGAAAGAAACAAGGTGACATGGGGATCAAAACAGCTGACTCTTAGAAATATATTTTGCAGCATGCTAAGCACATGTGATTGTACACCAATTGTGGTGTACAGTTGGGTTGGGACTACACCCAACATTGGGTGTGTCAGATATATATGACATAGTGTTTGTAGGCTCTAGTGGGGTAGACACTAAGGGGTACAGGTTTCTAGGGTTTGATATTTGTATCACACACGTTCCTAGTCCATTCATTCCTCATTATTTCACATGGTATAGAGCAGGTTCCCTAGTGGGAACGTTTTCTAGGGCCCACCACTAAAACGATTTTTTTTTTTCCTTACCTGCCCGGAGCGTGCTTCGCACCTGCCCTAGTCGCGCCCCGTGCGCCTGCCCTCCCGTCGCGTCCCCTGCCCTTAGCGGCCCGTCGCGCCCTCTTAAGGCCCCTTCGCGGCCACTCTCACGGCCCTTCGCGGCCCCTTCGCAGCCCGTTCGTGGCCCTTCGTGGCCCCTCTCACGGCCCTTCGCGGCCCCTTCGCGGCCCCTCGCTGCCCCTTCTCGGCCCCTTCGCCGCCCTTCGCGGCCCCTTCGCGGCCCCTTGCGGCCCCTTCTCGGCCCCTTCGTGGCCCCTCGCGACCCCTTCTCGGCCCCTTCGCCCCCCTTCGCGGCCCCTTCGCGGCCCCTCCGCGGCCCTTCGCGGCTCCTTCACGGCCCCTCCGCGGCCCCTTCGCAACTCGTCGCGGCCCCTTAGCGGCCCCTCCCCGGCTCTTCACAGCCCTGCCGCCCCGTCGTCGCCGCCCCAGCAGCAGCTGCCGTCGCGCCTGCTGCCGCTGCTGCTTCCTCCACGGCCGGTCGCCGTCGCCGATGCTGCAGTGACAGCCGCCGCCGCTCCTACTGAGACAACCGCCGCTGCCACTACCGTGACAGCCGCCGCCGCCGTCCCGGCCCTGCCCTGCAGCCGAGGCGCGGCCCTCCTTTGCCGCCCTGTCGCGGCCCTGTTCCTGCCGGCGCACCTCGGCCTTGCCCCACCACTTGTGGACCTCTACCCACCCGCCCCTGGTAAGAGCCCCGCCGAGTCGCGCCCCTCCTGCTGCTGCTGCTGCTAGCCTGCTGCTGGTGCTGTCATGGCTACCCCCAATGTTCTCACCTTTGAAGCTGAGGGTCGGGCTGTCGACTTTGAGGTCTGGGTCAATGATCTGCAGCTTTTCCTGCAGTGTGATAGAAGAGATGGTCTCTCACTGTTCGATCTCACGTCTCGCGCCTCTGCTGCCCCTGCTGCCGATACTGACAGTACTGTTCGCTCACAGTGGGCCACACGCGATGCTGCTGCCCGTCTTGCTGTGCGTAGTCACTTGCCGTCCACTTAGCGCGCGCACTTTAGTAAGTACAAGAGTGCTAAGACCTTGTACGACGTTGTAGTTGCCCGCTACTCTTCCCCTGCCACTGCTGCCGTTAGTCGCCTCATGCTGGCGTACCTGTTCCGTGACCTCGCCGCCTTTCCCACAGTCGCTGACCTCATTACGCACCTTCGCACTGGTGACACCCGCTACCGCGGTGCGCTTCCTGCTAAGTTGTGCACCAAGAACCACCCCCCCCCCCCCCCCCCCAATGTACATCACCCTCTACTACCTAGTCACCCGGCTCCCTGACTCCCTTCGCCCGGTGAGGGACCACTTCCACTCTGTTTGCCCCACCACACTCACCGTTGACCTCCTCGACGAGCGCCTCCTGGCCGCTGAGAAGAGTATAGTCGCTGTAGGAGCCTCTCGTAGTGACCCTCGTGCCCCCTTCTTTGAGGGGTGCTCCCCCTCCCCCCTTTTACCCTCTGTTGCCTCTGCTGCTGCGGTCGACCTCGTTGGCACCGAGTCGGTCGGCACTGCGTCTGCCCCTAGCGGGAGACGCCGCAACGGCAAGGGCAAGGGGGGCAAGGGTGCTGGAGGAGCTGGCAGGGGCGGTGGAGGTGGCGGTGGAGGTGGCGGTGGAGGCGGCGGAGGGGGTGGGGGTGGCGGTGGGAGTGGTGGCGGGGGTGGGGGCTTCAGTGGCAGCGATGGAGGCGGAGGCGGAGGCGGCAGTGGTGGTGGGAGCAGAGGAGGCGGCGGTGGCGGCGTTGGCGGCGGTGGTGGTGGAGCTGGTCGGGGTAGCTCTGTACAGCGGAGCGGCTCCGGTGGTGGTCAGCGCCAGCAGCAGCAGCGCACTCGTGAGACCCCGCCCCCCGAGCAGCTTCGTGAGTGGTACGCTGCGCATTAGCGGGGTGGGGGTGCTGGTCCCTGTGCCTACGTCCCGCGTACGGGCGACCGTACAGGTGAGCCGTGCGGTGGCCCGCACACCACCCAGCGCTGCTTCGGCCGCCTGACGGATGCCTGGTGTCTCCAGTTCCCTGACGCCACTGAGATCCCTCGTTGGGGCGAGCTACTTTGGTCAGGGGTTGCTATCTTTGATCTTGATTATGATGCTATTCTTGCTGCCATGTATGTTGTGTCTACTAGTGATGAGGGTGACTGTTACCTGTGTGTTCCGCCTGACGCGGGCATTGTGGCTGTTACACTAGGTGCTGGTGTGGCTGCTGCTCTAGGTGCTATTGCGTCTGCTGCTCCAGGTGCTGGTGAGTCTGCTGCCCCAGGTGCCGGTGAGTCTGCTCTCTCAGGTACCACGTCGGCTCAGGCTTTGCACACTTTCACCCTTGACACGGGTGCTTCCCGCTCCTTCTTTCGAGACCGCACCACACTCACCCCGCTTAGTCGTCGGTTGCAGTCTCGCTGGCAGACCCCTCGGGGGGTCCTCTCCTTGCCCATTTCTCCACTGTCTTACCGTGTCTGGCAGCCCCTTCTAGCACCCTGTCTGGTCTTTACCTCCCCTCGTTCTCTACGAACCTGGTGAGTGGTGCTGACCTACAGGATGGGGGGGTTGACCAGTTCACTCCTGCGAGTCAGCAAGTGACCCACTGTACGTGTGCTCGGACGGGCCGCCACTTGGCCACGTTTACCCGTTAGCCAGGGTAGAGCCTGTACACACTGACTACTGGGTCTCCTCCGGCTGCTGAGTCTGGTCAGGTGGGTGCGTCGGGTCAGGTGTTTGCTGCAGCGTCTAGGTCTGGTCCTGAGTCCGCCCCCTGCTCGTGTCGTCTCCTGTCTCCAGACTCTCCTTTGGAACCACCGCCTTGGTCACCCCTCCCTGCCTCGTCTCCAAGGCATGGCCTCTCGTTTCCTTGTCTTTTTGCTCTCTTGGGCCTGCCCCTACCTGCGTTCCTTGCGTCGAGGGGCGGCAGCGCGCCGCTCCTCACTCCTTCGAGTTTCCTCCGACAGAGGTTCCGCTGCAGACGCTTCACCTGGATGTGTGGGGCCCCGCCCGCGTCCGTGGACAGGATCACGAGCGTTACTTCCTGTTGGTGGTTGACGGCTACTCGCGCTGCACCACAGTCTTCCCCTTGTGCAGGAAGGGTGAGGTCACTGAGGTGTTGATGGACTGGATCCGCGCAGCTCGTCTCCAGCTCCGAGAGAGTTTCGGCTCGGACTTTCCTGTTTTGCGACTGCACTCCAACAGAGGCGGGGGGGTTTCTTCTGACCTTCTGCGGGCCTTCTGTTGTGCACAGGGCATCCGCCAGACGTTCACGCTTTCGACCTCTCCACAGCAAAAGGGGATTGCTGAGCGCCGCATTGGTATGGTCATGGACGTCGCTCGTACGTCCATGATCCATGCGGCTGCTCCCCATTTTTTGTGGCCGTTCGTGGTTCAGTACGCGGCGCATCAGATCAACCTTCAGCCCCGGGTCTACTTGCCGGAGACCTCCCCTACTCTGCGATGGACGAGGAAGGTTGGCGATGCGTCTGCATTCTGTGTCTGGGGATCTTGAGCTTTTGTCCGCGACTTGTCTGCGGAAAAGCTGTCCCCCTGCTCTGTTCCCTGCGTCTTCCCTGGCTTCCCCCCTGACGCGCCTGGTTGGCAGTTTTACCACCCCACCTCGTGCCGTGTTCTGTCCTCCCAGGACGTCACCTTTGACGAGTCGGTGCCTTACTACCGTCTCTTCCCCTACCGCACTGCGCCCCTCCCCCCGCCGCCGCTCTTCCTTGCGCCAGGTTCCCCCCCGGTAGACCCTCTCCCCCCTCAGGGTCCTGCCCCCTCAGGTGTGTCTCTATTGCTGGAGGTGCTGCTGGGGTTGGAGTTTCTATTGCTGCTGAGGGTGTTGACGCCACGGGTCCTGGAGGTGCTGGTACAGGAGGTACTAGACCTGCTGGGCCTGGGGGTGCTCGTGGTGCTGCAGCTGCTAGCTGTGCTAGAGCTGGTAGTGCTACTGGAGTAGGTGCTACTGGAGGTAATGGAGCTGGGGCTGTTGGGTCTTCCGGTGTTCCTGCTAGAGCTGGAGCTGCTGGAGTTGCTGGAGCTGGCGGTGCTACTGTTGCCGGTGCTCCTGTCGGTGCTCGAGTAGCTGCTTCTGGAGCCGGTGGAGATGCTGGAGTCGTGGCCGACCCTAGGGGTGCTGGTCTTGTCCCTGCTGGTTATGGAGGTGCTGCGCGGCGGCGGCCGTACTTCGTTCCGCTCCTTGCGCAGGTTCTTGGTCTTCCGCCCTCTACTGGTCCTGCTCCTTCCTTAGAGTGTCCACTGCCTGTCCAGTCCGAGTCACAGTTACAGCCTGCCTCCCCGCTGCATGCTCCTCCTCCCTACACTGGTCCTACTGGAGTTCTTGCTGAGCGTCGTGAGCCTGCGTCTCGTCCTGCGTTGCCTGTTCGTGCTGCTCGCACTAGTCGTCGTGTTCTGCGTCAGCGTCCTCCTGCGGTCCCGGGCACGCACCAGATGGCGCTGCGTCCTTCCACTGCTCCTCTGCGTGCCCCTTTGCCATCTCCTCAAGAGTCCTCTCTTCCTGCTCTTGCTGACCCGGAGTCTGACTCTCTTTGTGCTGCCAGTCCGACTGTCACGCGTCTCATGGCTACTGCTGTCACTGACCCTTCCTTTTAGTCCACTACTGCGTCTGCCCTAGTTGCTGAGCTTGTCGACTTCGCTGCTCGCTGTTGTCTAGTCTTGTTGCTGAGTCTGAGTCTGTCTGTCCTCCGTCGGTCGGGGGTGAGTGTGCTCTTAGCACGGACGTCCTTGAGGACAGGCAGGAAGAGTTCCAGACTGATTGCTTTGCCTCATCTCGTGTCCATGCTGATTGCCCCTGAGGGAGACCCGGATGCACCAGACATCCTGACTTCGCGCTCTTACGCAGAGGCGATAGAGAGTCCCTACTCCTCTCAGTGGTAGTCAGCCATGGACGCAGAGATGGCTTCCTGCAAGTCCACAGGCACCTACGTTGATGAGGTTCCCCCACCTGGGGCGAACATCGTTAGCGGCATGTGGATTTTCAAGGCGAAGCGGCCACCGGGTTCTCCGCCTGTCTTCAAGGCACGTTACGTGGCTCTGCCTTCAGACCTTCTCACCCACCCCGAAGATGACCACTCTTCGGGTGCTGCTGCACATAGCCGCTCAGCACGACTACGAGCTTCACTCTCTTGACTTCAGCACTGCATTCCTACAGCGCAGCCTGCACGAGGAGATCTGGCTGCGTCACCCACCTGGCTTCACTGGGTCGTTTCCTCCTGATATCAGGAGGAGCCTCCGGCAGCCAGTCTACGGTCTCGGCCAGGCGCCCCGTGAGTGGCACGACACACTGAGGACTACACTTGCGGCTCTTGGGTTTGCTCCTTGTACTGCCGACCCGTCACTGTTTCTACGCACCGACACTTCTTTGCCGCCATTCTACATCGTCGTGTATGTCGACGACTTAGTCTTTGCTACTGCTGAAACTGCTGGACTCGCCCACGTGAAGTCCGAGCTGCAGAAGTGTCACACGTGCACAGACCTGGGTGAACTGCGCAGCTACCTTAACTTGCAGATCACTCGGGACAGAGCACGGCGCACCATTACTCTGACTCAGTCACACATGGTGCAGCAGGTCCTTCAGCGCTTCGACTTCACGTACTCCTCGCCTCAGGCCACTCCTTTGTGTACTCACTAGCCGCTCTGAGCTCTGCCTTCAGATGAGTCCGTAGATCCGAGTGGCCCGTACCCAGAGCTTGTTGGCTGCCTCATGTACCTGATGACCTGCACACGACCTGACCTTGCATACCCTCTTAGCATCTTGGCACGCTATGTTGCTCCTGGGAGACACCGACCAGAGCACATGGCTGCAGCGAAGAGGGTGTTGCGCTACTTGTGCAGTACGTCGGGCATGGGGCTCGTTCTGGAAGGGCGGAGTCCAGTGGCCCTCACTGGTCACGCAGACGCTTCTTGGGCTGCCGACTTGGCTACGCAGCGGTCCTCACAGGGTTACACCTTCAGCCTTGGTTCCGGCTCTGTTTCGTGGCGGTCTACCCGCTCGTCTTCTATTTCCGGCTCCAGCTGTGAGGCTGAGATCTACGCAGGGGCCATGGTTGCACAGGAGTTACGCTGGCTCACCTGCCTGTTGACTGACCTAGGAGAGCCGCCTCGTTCTCCTCCAGTTCTGTACGTAGACCACAAGGCCATGCTGCGACTTGCTTACGTGGCCTCTCGGGCCAACACTGCTGATATCTTTACCAAGGCACTTCAGCCTTGTGATTATCAGTGCTTTTGTACGATGCTAGGTCTTGTGCCTGCTTGGCCTCACTTGCTCACTTCTTGACCTTGCATGTACTGTGATCTATCTATACATGCACTTGCTTGTTTACCATTATATATAATCTTGCATGCGAACTGGCCTTGTGGCCTTGAACTGGTGCTCGGAATGTGTGGTGACATTGTGATCCACCCTGAGCTTGCTTTGCTTGACTGGTCTTGTGACCCCTAGTTCTCCCCCAGTTTACCTATGGGGGTTTGTCAAATATATATGACATAGTGTTTGTAGGCTCTAGTGGGGAAGACACTAAGGGGTACAGGTTTCTAGGGTTTGATATTTGTATCACACACTTTCCTAGTCCATTCATTCCTCGTTTTTTCACAGGGTGTAGTCTTGCACTTTGGGGTGCCAATCCACCCAATTGTGGTGGGGCCCCCAAATGCAATCCCCTTGACTTTTGGGTACCTCACTTCCCAATTGAGGTCACCTCAAGCCAAGTGGGCCTAGGGTTGCCTCACTTCGACAAAGTATGGGCAACCCAACCCACTTCACCAATGGTTGCCTCACTTCCCCAAGTGAGGTCAACCTAACCTATAGTTAGGGTCATCCTTCCCCTCCAACCCTTCCTTCCAACTATGTATGCTAGGTTTCTCCTCTGATCCAATTACTTGTTCAATTTACAATCTTCACATGGTATAGAGCTAGTTGTTCCTAAGCCTGAAATCTCACTCCCTCAAGTTTTTTCTTTCCCATGGGCCCACCCCACAGCCACAAATCCCCTCATACGTGTGGCTCAACCTAGCATATCCTCACCGCAACCTACGCCCTTCCCTCCCTCCGCCGCGATTGCGCCCTCCTCGCCTGCGGATCCCACTATCGCGAGCGCATTGCCGCCTCTCCCCCCCTTCCCGTCGCCGCGACACACCGTCGCCGCCTCCCCCTCTATCCGCCGCGACTGCTCCGGCGCCCCCTGCGCATCTCGCCGCGACGCCTCGTCGCCGCCTCCCCTTCCCCTTGCCGCGATCCCCCGTTGCCGCCTCCCCCCTCCTGCCGCCGCGCCTGCTTTGGCGTCGCCCGGGCATCCCTCCGTCGCGACGCCTCGTCGCCGCCTACCCCTCACGCTGCCGCGATGTCACGTCACCGCCTCCCCTTATCGCTGCTGCGCCTTCCTCGGCGCCGCCTGCGCATCCCGCCGCCGCGACGCTTTGTCGCCGTTTCCCGTCCCGCCGCCACGACTTCGCGTCGCCGCCTGCATGCCCCATCGCCGCGACCTGCCTTCGCCGCCTGCACGCCCCATCGCCGCGACCTGCCGTCGCCGCCTGCACATCCCACTGCCGCGACCCGCTCGTCGCCGCCTGCACGTCCCGCCGCCGCGACTTCGCGTTGCCGCCTGCGCATCCCGCCGCCGCGACCTGCTCGTCGTCGCCTGCACACCCCGTCGCCGCGACCTGCCGTCGCCGCTTGCGCATCCCGCCGCCGCAACCCGCTCGTCGCCGCCTGCACGTCCCGCCGCCGCGACTTCGCGTCGCCGCCTGCGCATCCCGCCGCCGCGACCTTCTCGTCGCCGCCTGTACGTCCCGCCGCCGCGACCTACCGTCGCCGCCTGCACCTCCCGCCGCCGCGACCTATTCTCGCCGCCCGCGCATCCCGCCGCCGCGACCTCCTCGTTGCCGCCTACGCATCCCGCCGCCGCGATCCACTCGTAATCGCCCGCGCATCCCGCTGCTCCTACTGCCCTGCCACTCGGCCGCAATTTCCGCCGCCGCGACTACACCGCCAGCCACCCGCGATCTCTTCTACCGCGGCCCTACCGTCGCCTCCTGCCCTTCCCCCCGCATCGCCTGCTTGTCCTCGCCTGCCCACGCCACCCCTCTGCAGATTCCGCCGCAGCAGCACCCACTCCACCAAGCAGCAGCAGCGGCCGCGGCAGCAACAGCCCCGCCCACAGCTGCAACTGCGTTCTTCCTCCCCCTCCACCCCCCCCCCCCCTCCCCCTTTCCTTCTCCTCTCCTCCCACGCAGCAACAGCCGGGACAGCTGAGCGGCCACAGCAGCAACATTGGCAGCAGCAGCACCATCGGGTGCAGCGGCAGCAGCGGTAGCAGCAGTAGCATCGGCAGCAGCAGCAGCAGCAGTAGCATCGGCAGCAGCGGCAACAGCAGCAGTAGCAGCGGCGGCACCGGCAGTAACAGCAGCAGCAGCAGCAGCCGGAGGAGTGCGCCAACCTCAGCAGCAGCACTTCCCCCCCCCTCTTTCCTTCTCCTCTCCTCCCAAGCAGCCAAAGCAGCCACAGAAACAGCAGCAGCAGCAGCAGCAGCAGCAGCAGCAGCAGCAGCAGCAGCAGCAGCAGCAGCAGCAGCAGCAGCAGCAGCAGCATCGGGAGTAGCGGCAGCGGCGGAAGTAGCGGCAACAGCGGTAGCAGCAGTAGCATCGGCAGCAGCGGCAGCACCGGAAGCAGCGGCAGCAGCAGCCGGAGGAGTGCGCCAGCCTCAGCAGCTGCACTTCACCCTCCTCCCCCCCTTCCGTGGCCGCCGCGGGTCCACCCGCCGCCGCCCTCTCCCTTGACCGCCGCGGGTCCACCCGCCGTTGTCCCCCACATGGCCACCGACCCTCCTGCCCCTCTCCCCCTCCCTCCTCCTATTGACGCCTCCTCCGTCAACAAGCTCCAGCCTGTGGCGGACCGCTCAGCTGTCAATTGACACTCCTTCGTCGGGAGCATCTGCCGTGTCCTCCAGGACGCCTTCGTCGGACCCTACTGCGTTCTCGACGTCCTCCTCCGCCGCCCGCACGCTCTCCAACCCACTGCCCCCACTCACCCCGATGAACCCCCTCCTCCCCCCATTCCCCTGGCCCTCCTCCTGCTGAACCTACCTTGGGGATCGCCGCTACCCTGGAGCTCGAGGCAGTTGCCGATGCCACCTTCCTCCACAATCGCCGCGAGTACCTCATCCGCAAGGCAGAGCATGAAGTTGCGGTGCATCATCACGAGTTTGCAACAGCAGAGCACGCCACTCGCCTGGCATTACTTACTGAGTATACCACGGCCATGGCAGAATACCTCCCCAAGAGCATCGCATGGGCCACTGCTGACAACCGCGCCTGCACCATCCTCCTCGGCGCACTCCTCGACATCCTCATGCGCCGTTTCCAAGCTCGCGAGATGCGCGCCTCCCTCATTTGGGCCGAGCTCCAGCAATGTTTGAGCGTCGCGACATCAGCTCTGTCAACGCCCTCTTCCAAGAGTACTTCTCCATCACCCTTGCCACCTGTGATGGCGCAGTTGACTATGTGGGGCGCATGCAGGAGGTCGCTGATCGCCTTGCGGCACGCCAAGCCGCCCTCCCGAGCCACTCCAAATCCATCGCCTCCTCTACAACCTCACCTCGGACTACGAGTCCCGCCTCCACGCCTTCACTGTGGCCAACCCCATGGCCGGCCTCGACGACGTGGTCCAGTGGATCATTGACACAGAGGTCAAGCTCCACACCCAGCCTTACCACCCCTCAATCCTCCTCCTCCACCTCCCTCAATGCTACGCAGCCGCACAACCAGGGTGGTCGCAGCGACGGCGGTGGAGGTCGTAGCGCTGGTGGCGGTGGCAGTGGAGGTCGGAGAGGTGGTGGGGGTGGTGGTGGTGGTGGTGGCCGTGGAGGTCGTGGTGGCGGTGATGGTGGTGCTGGCAGCACCCCTGCTGGAGGATCTTCCGGTGCTGGTGGTGCTGTGACTCGAGGCGGTCGCCCTGGAACTCTTCCCCCATGCATGTATGTTCGCCGCCATGGTCCCCATGCTGGTACCCCGTGTGGTCAAACCAGCCACCCCCCCACCACGTGCTTCAAGGCGCTCGACGTCGCCTGGTTTGATCGAGGCAACACTAGCACCCCTCCTAATTGGAACTCTGTCACCCCTCGCCCCTCCTTGGTGGATGTTCAAACCCTACCCTCTTTCCTTCCTGCTCACCTTCGCTTGGTTACCCCCTCCCCACCTTCGCAGCTGCAGGAGTTTCAGCAGCACCAGCAGCAGCAGCACCAGTACTTCCATCAGCAGCAGCAGCAGCTGTAGTTTCAGCCGCAGCAGCCACCGCCGCTGTAAAACCTTCCAGCCACCGCAGCAGCAGCAGCAGCAGCAGCAGAAGTTCCTTCCGCTACACTGGCAGCAGCAGCCGCTTACTTTCGGCACACCGGCCATGGCCGCTCATGCCTCCCTTACCCCCCCATGCCAAGAGTGCCTCGCCTTCTACACAGACAACCGTGAAGAGCGACGACAGCCGCGGCTCAAATCCTGGTCTAATTATCGCCACCCAAATTCCAATCACCATAACAACTGGGTCAGCTGACAAGACGCTCGTCATTTTCAGCAACAAGCTCCGCGCCCTCCTGCTCATCACCAACAGCAGCAACAGCAGACACAAGGACCTCAAATAGGGTTTAGATGAAGATCCGCCATTCCATAGAAGATACAAAAGAACCTTGGTGACCCTGCGGCTTGCGCCACTTCTGCGCGGCAACAACATCGACAACCATAACACATGGTACCTGGACAGCCGTTGAGGTCAGCACATGGTGGGATCCATCTGGTACGTCTCGAATATCAGCCGCGCTCCCGCCACCTATGCTACCGTCGCTAGCAATGAGCAGCTGCGCGCAAATGCGCAAGGCATCGTGGTGCTGCAAGCACGAGACCGCAACACACACATCACATTCAACAACGTGCTCTACGTGCCAGACCTCCGTTTTAACTTACTTTCGACAGGATAACTCAGAGACTGCGGAGTAATGCTCGCTAAGGATCCTTATACACGCGACCTCATCCTCACCTACGCTCCTCCGGACACACCCGTCGGATCGCACAAATACCTTGGAAGAGCTCGCTCAATCAACGGCGTCTACATGCTCGACTTCGACATCCCCAACTGTCAGGCATTGTCGGACGAGCTCGTAGACCTCGTTCCCCTAGACTTCTCATACCTTAGTAAGTAGTCATGGCAGCATCCGGATGGACGACCGTGGATTCGACGCAACCCTCATCATGAGGAGATAAATCTGCACCAACCCGGTCCTGACGGCATCTGCACCACCTACTTCACACCCACGGCAAGCCACACAGAGGAAGTTGAAAAGGATCTTGCGACGATCCAAGAGGCAGAAATGTTGGAATAGTAGGCATAGCCAAGACAGTAGTCTAGGGTTTAGACCTAGGCAAGAGAGAGTTGTCCAAGCAAGAAGGGGTTTGCACTATGTGAAGACAGGTACAAATAGATGAGAAACAAACTAGGAGTGGTGCACCACCACACAGAACACATATGTGACTACACTACAGCTAGACTACACGCACTTATACAAGACATATGCAATATATGTTTTGACAAGAAAGCGTTGAGACGACACCGACGAGCATAACAGAAATGGAGCTAGCTATGCTTTTGGGGTCGGAGACGAAAGGCTGGGGCTGACGGAGCAACAGCGACCAACACCGCGCACCGAAGCCCTCCGCTGGATCCTGGAGGAAGCACACGACATGACCTTTGGCGAGGAAATCGTCCGCGCCCCTACACCCACGACGTCTACCGTTTAGTCATTGATAAAAATTGGAAATACCTAGACGAACCTGCGGAGCTCAGCATCCATGAGGAAGAAAAGGCAAGGGAAGAAAAGAAAACAAAGCTGTACGAGGAGCGCATCGCCGCTGGATGGGACGAAGAGTCAGCACGCACCGGAGGATGGGGAGGAAACGACGAAAGCACAGGAGCAACATGGGGATCCGCCGTTGGTGTGTCAAGCACCGTTCAAGGCTGGGGAACTAGCGAATAGGGCAACGCCGAACGACGGGACCTCGCCGAAGGTGACCTTGCCCAGGAGGAGATAGAAGAAGTGGAGAAGGAGATGGCTGCTGAAAGACCTCCCGCACGAGTCACTGTCCCAATCGGACGACCCCCCCACACTTTTCCCTCACCACCCCACTCACCTTATCGCTACAACGATCCCTGGTCAGAGATTGAGGAGAGGAACGTGCCACCAACTCCTCCCCGCGACTCACTTGGACCAATCTCCCGCCCAGATCCCTTCCCACACTTCATCGAAGGCACGAGGACTCCACTCAACATCATTCCAGATCGCAACTTCCTCGCGCTCTACCCCACGACGGCACCTGCAGATTGGGAGACAAAAGCAGAAGTAGAAGCTGAGGAGCCGGACAACGAAGCAAAACCAGGAGAAGAAGGACCAGTGCTTCAAATTCCCCACGAAACTAAAGCAGAGGCAGCAAAACTTCACGCTCGTTGCCTACGCACCTCAGGAATCCGCACGAATGAAGACCTCTCGCATCAGCAACTCGGCCATCCTTGCACCATACGTTCAACAACTGTCTACATGCTAAAGTCTTTTTGCCAGGAGCACTTCTGCGCCTTGATGGCACGGAACTGCTCAGCACGTCTCATCCAACCACCTACACCATCAGCCCCACTACGGCCCTCACGCATCTGCGCAGACAACTACTACAACGGGAGCTAGACTACGGGCTAGGCACGGATGCTCGTGTGATCTCTGCGTTTGTTCCTCAGTCATTTCCTTGTGTTCACACTGCTTGCTAGTTCACAGGGAGAATTTGCAAGAGTTTCACTAAGAAAACATGACAACAATAATCCAGAATGATAGCAACAACATTGGCATCATAGACTACATCAGCGTTGGCTAGGCTGCTGGTCAACCTCC